CATTAGCATTACCATCTGTAACCCACAGGTCTGTGTCCTAACCATTAAGTTGTTATCAGAGCATTAGCATTAGCATTAGCATCTGTAACCCACAGGTCTGTGTCCTAACCATTAAGTTGTTATCAGAGTAAATCCCTGTTCTACATGAGTCTGACAACTAAATAAGTAGATAAATAACTTTAGACTTTAACACATGCTCTGATAGGCCGGGATCGGATCGGAAATGTAAAAATCTGGATGGGGACGTCCCTATGTGAACATGCAGGATCTGAGTGGCTGGTACCTGGTCCAGAAGTCCAAATTTGGGGTACTCCTCATCTGCGTCTTTGCTCCCGGGATCCGGATGCTCCTTCACCAGGAAAACGTCCCTCTCTTTGCTCTGGAACATTAAAAAACACCGGGATTCTTCTCAAATCTCCAAACATCTGTCTTTCCCCCATATTAGGAACTAGGGATGGGAATCTTCACCACCAAGGCGATACGATACACATCTCGATACACAGCCAACGATTCGATACATTCACAATTCATGGAATTTCTAGTGATAAGATTCGATACGATTCTCCAACCTCCCGCGATCCGGTGCGATACAGAACGATCTAAATTTTAAATGCTGCGATACAGTGCGATACGATACGATACGATACGATGCGATGCAGAAGAAAAGTACACCATGGACTACATAGTTCAAGTTATGGCACGCAAGCTAACTGTGCCTTTTATTTTGAAACAAAGGAAGTGCAACTTAGAGAGTGATTGTCTCTCTGAAACTTTACAAGAAACGCAACTAAAACTCAAAGACACGTTTCTAAAAAGTTATAATAATAGAAGATAATAATCGGTTTGTATCGATGCAGGTAGTTTTATACGATGCATCTCGAGTTTATGTGCGGTTTTTACCGATGCAGACGTTTGCAAATCGATGCAACCGTATCGCACAGGTCGTTCCGATGTTCCGATACGCATCGGTGAATCTTGCCATGCCTATTAGGAACAGACAGGTTTGTTACCATTGTCTTCACGATGTTGTTGGGCCAGGTGAGTTTTCCTGGTCTCTGCCGGGTGGTCATGCACTCCCAGTATTTATCGATGAAAGGAATGATGTCCTGCAACCAGGAAGTCCAAAAACATCCATGAAAGGAAAAGTATTTCAAGTCTCATTTTGGCTTTTTACAGAAAAAACTCAAACGACACGTTTCTCCAACATTGTATATGAAGTTGAATGTATTAATGCCTCTCCACTGTATGTGTTCAGAAATGTTCAATAAAAAATAAGTATAAAAAAAATAAATAATTAAAACTCAAACGGATTTAATTTACATTTGTTTTTCGTCATATTTGAATCAATATCTTCTTCACATCTTTCCCGTAAACTTAAGTAAAAAGGAAAATATTCCATAAAATGGGTTTTTGAATTAGGGTTGTCAAAATTACCGATACTCCAAAAACTATTGATACTAAAAAATCAACAATCAATTCCGCCCACATCCAGGTCGGCCATTTTGATTAGGTCACCAACAGGAAGATCCCAGGCAAGAAAATCCCAATTGCTTCATGGCAATATAGACATTAATTTAAAAACAGTGAAATGAATCTTGCAAACACTTAATTAAACTCTATCCATAATATTATGTTAAAATAGTGGATGTTAAATAGGTTTGTAAAATAAGTCCAAACAAGTTTAACCAAAAAAATATTTATTTCTCACAATTATGAAGGGTTAGGGTTAGGGTCAGGGTTAGGGTTAAAGTCAGGGTTAGGGTCAGGGTTAGTGTTAGGGTCAGGGTTAGGGTTAGGGTCATTAATGTGGGCCACCATAACATCAGTAACAGGTCAGTTTGAAACCAAAGACACTAACCTGTCAAAATTCAGTTAAATTTTGGGGTCTTTGTTTTTATCCTTGTGGTATCGAAAATGGTATAGAATATTTTCCTGAGTATCGGTATCCAGTTGAACATTTTAGTATCGTGACAACCCTATTTTGAATACATTTTTGACTGGCTGATGAAGCCATGGGCCTCCTAAAACTGTATTAATCCTTCCATGTTCAGCTTTACAGGCTTAGAGCCATCGTCCCACCTTGTCTTTGGAGAACATGGTTTTCGGGTGTTCGTCTTTGGTCCTGGACCGCCAGGTGAGGTTTGCCAGGGCCGTGAGGCACATTTCCTTCAAGTCTGAGACACAAACAAACAACAGCACGGTTAGCGGGGTTTTATTACATTTTTATATTTGAATTATATTTATATTTGATTATTTTAAATACATTTTTATATTTGATTATTTGAATTATATTTATATTTGATTATTTCAAATACATCTTTATATTGGATTATTTCAATTATATTTATGTTTGATATTTTAATTACATTTTTATATTTGATTATTTGAATTATATTTATATTTGATTATTTTAAATACATTTTTATATTTGATTATTTGAATTATCTTTATATTTGATTATTTTAAATACATTTTTATATTGGATTATTTCAATTAAATTTATATATGATTATTTTAAATACATTTTTATATTTGATTATTTGAAGTACATTTTTATTTGATTATTCTAAATACATTTTTATATTAGATTATTTGAATTATATTTACATTTGATTATTTTAAATACATTTTCATATTTGATTATTTGAATTATATTTATATTTGATTATTTTAATTACATTTTTATATTTGATTATTTGAATTATATTTATATTTGATTATTTCAATCAAATTTTTATATTTGATTATTTGAATTATATTTATATATTTGAATTATATTTATATTTGATTATTTTAAATACATTTCTATTCGATTATTTCAATTAAATATTTATATTTTATCATTTCAATCAAATTTTTATATATTATCTGAAACAGGGGGGTCACCCACTGGCTTGTTTCCGGAGGAAATAGGTGTTCCCGCTGTGGTGGCAGACGTTGCAGTGGAACACGTAGTTGGTCATGAACGGGAGGCAGGTTCTGCAGAAGAAGAGGGAGAAAAGGATCAATATGGGGAATGGTGGAGTGGGCGGAGCCAGGGGCGGATCTAAACTTTTATCCTTGGGGTAGCAAGGGGGTGGCCAAGTGTATTTTAGGGGGGCAATGGTTTATACTTAAAAATAACAAAGTTTATGCACTAGCGTTAATGTCGCAGCAGAAAACACCAACCGTCTGTAAGCAATCGAGTGCTGTATACCTGTTCCTGTCACGTTTTAAATTATTATTCACTATCATTTATTTCTACATGGACTTACAGATGTTGGTCCTGTCTTGTGTTCTGTTCATCTATTACTTTTCTCCTAAAAATATTCAGCCGTTTTCTAAATATGGCAGTTTTAAAATCCATCTCGAGAGCGTGCAGCCTTTTCCCAAAGAATGTTGTTTGTTTACTAATGTTATGCTTGCGGCAGATGGCCGCCCACCCTGAGCCATGGTTCTGCTCGAGGTTTCTGCCTGTTAAAAGGAAGTTTTTCCTTGCCTGTGTCGCCTAGTGCTTGCTCATGGTGGGAATTGTTGGGTTTCTGTAATTAACTTTAGAGTAGGTCTGACCTGCTCTGTTTGGAAAGCTGTGAGACAACTGTTGTTGTGATGTGGCGCTATATAAATAAAATTGAATTGAATTGATTTAAAAGTTTATACTTCGTCCCATTCCTTATCGAACAATTTATTATGGTTTATGTATTCATTGTGTTGTGTTGTATTTACACATCTTATATTGTTTTGTTGTTCGAATAAACTGAACTGAACATGAATTGTTGCACTCGGTGGCTCCACGGCCGCTTTAGTTCTTCTTCTTTCACCCTATAATTCACGACTGGAAAGGGGCTGCATAGCGCCATCTACTGTACAGGAAGAACATCGCAGTCAAAGACTTCAAACAGTTTTAGCCGGATTTAGCCTTCAATCATCTGGGGGTGGCAGTTGGGGTAGCCAATCAGATTTCAGAGGAGTCAATTGCTCCCGTGGCCACCCCACATACACATACACTGTACTTAATCTGTATTTTTTGTATTTTTATTTATTTATTTGTATATTTTTGCTTAAACTGATTCTAACTTGACACTGTTTGCCCTTTAAGCTGCTGGTAACCTTAATTTCCTGAGGGAGTCTTCCCAAGGGATCAATAAAGTACTGTCTAAGTCTAAGTCTAAGTCTATAGATCCGCCCCTGGGCGGAGCCTTTTCGGACGAGGGTACGCACGCGGTATCGATGCCAAAGGTGTCGGCGGTGAACCATTTCATGCACAAAGCACACTGCAGCTCCACCTCCCCCAGCTGCCGCCCGCTGTCCTCGTCCCCCGACCCGGGAAGGGCGTCGGCACTCTCCGAGCCCTCGCCCGCCGCCTCCTGTAAAAGAAAAAGATGGCCGCTCACGATTAGAGACGTCCCCATCTAGCTATTTTAAATTCCAGTCCCGGCCTATCAGAGCATGGAAACATCCTGAAATGAAAACAGCCTGAATAAAACCTGAAAACAGCCTAAAACAGCCTAAATAAAACCTGAAAACAGCATGAATAAAACCTGAAAACAGCCTGAATAAAACCTGAAAACAGCCTGAAAACAGCCT